GTTTAAGAATATGCTGGAAGTGAATTTTTTTAAATGTATTTTTTTTTCTTAATTTAACAGCATAAACTTACAATAGCGAAATACGTCTTGCCTCAGGTAGATTGAATGTTTTCCTGCCTTGCTGGATGTTGGGCTCATGATCAATAAGTTGTTTGCATTGGCCCAAACCGATTTGGCAAAATAAAAACTCGGACGGTGAAGGGAATTGCGGTTAGCGCGAGTCCCGCTGGTTGTGAAGCGGGAGCAGCCGGCAGAGGATTCCGCTTGGTCTTATCCTTCCTTAAACGGCTTATTCACAAATAAAACAATGATTTGCGCAAAAAGAATGATTAATTATCAATTGAGAATTTGTTATTGATATGGTCTAGTGCAGTGCTTCCCAAACCTGTCCTGGAGGACCCCCTGCCCTGCACCTTTTGTATGTCTCCCTTATCTAACACACCTGATTCCACTCATCAGCTCGTTAGTAGAGACTGCAAGAACTAAATTGGGTGTGTCTTATTAGGGAGATGTGCAGGGCAGGGGGTCCTCTAGGACAGGTTTGGGAACCACTGGTCTAGTGGAAATAATAATATGGGCTGCGAGAAAATAATAAATAAAAAGAGTGGGGCTGCTATGAGTGCAGGCAGTCTAGGGACAGCATCCATATTTCAACCCAGTGGCATGACAACACCGGCCCTCACGGCCAAAAATACAGACCGGCCCACCAGGAATCCTCCCGGTGCTCCCGATTTGCCAATCCGGGCCTGGTTTTTACTGTCACTTTAGATTCATTTAATCCATACTTCACAAAAAAAAACCCAAATAAAAACCAAACAAAACAACAACAACAAAAATGAACAAGACAATAGGAGGGTTAAAAACGTAAACGGCAAAATGTGAATGACAAGCAAAGAGAAGATGCAGGGGCGTCCTCAGCCTTACGTAAATGACCGTAAAGCAGCAAATTGTCAGAATAATGGGAAGAGACAGTTACATAAGGCGCCATGATTTGGTGACTCTGTGGAGGAGGAGAATTGTTGCTTTGAATGACGGTTTAAGAGCTTAGATTATCTAGTCAAGGTAACTCATCCAAATAGCTGATAGGATCGGATGCTTTCATACGCATTTCTTGTTTAATTTAAATGCTAAGTATTTTATGCAGACTGACCAAGCAGAGAGTCCCAAACAGGAGGTCTATAATGCATGGAGAAAATTATATAAAAATTGTATTCATTTATTTACTTAAATTATTATATATCAGTTTATTAGAATTAAATATTCTAGTTTCCCCTGAACAACAGTCTGACTTTGCCTATTCAGGACACAGAAAGTAGTATGGATTTTCTGCAACACTGCCATTGAGCTAATGCCTTGCTTTAAGGAGCATATTATGAGGTTGTAAAGTTCTTGTGACTTACTCAGAATTGAAATGCGGTGGGCAGGTAACCCTATTAGCATTTACTTAACAACATCAAGCCTACACTTGATACATCATGCATGAAGCCTCGGAGCAAAGTACAAGCCACTTTCATTTAACAAGTAGATATTATTTTGCCTGGGTGTCTCGAAAATACAAACTGAGGAGAAAGAGAGAGAGGATCACAACGGTTAGGGCACATAGCAGAATAAACGTATATATGACATTAAATGAGCATTGATATCAATCTTTCTATTCCCAAACCGATGTCAGCAGTAAAGTGAGACAAAGAAAATGAAAATCTATGATGCTAATGAGATGAGGAACCAAATGAGACGGCAGATAGAAAAATATCAATCTTCCAAATGAGGGGTCATATCGAGTCTCTCTAGAAGCATATTCTTTGATCAGGGTGCGCGTTTAAACAGCTGAGGCTCCTGTCTTTTTCACAAAACTTGTGTCAAAAGAAGCAAAACAATGTTTCTTTATACTCTCTATTTACACGATAAACATACGAAGATAACTGGTGCCAGAAACCGTCAGGACACGTTTCAAAATGTCTTTGATCGTCTTGACAGCATCACTTCTCTTGAAGAGATTGAGACATGACAGTGTGAAATCCGATTCTTACCTTGCCAGCTCTCCAGCACATTTCCTGTGATGTCATTGCGTTTTATCCACCCATATCCGATCTAAACTTAGAGTTTTGGAGGGGCCAAAGCGGTTACTGTGGCTCCTGTGAAGATGGGTGATGATGTCACCACCAGTCATTGCTCCAGAGGCCTTGAACTGGTTGAAATTCGCAATATCCACACTGACTGTTGGTGTGGTACCATGTCCACATTCATTGTGTGAAGTCCAAACGCACAGGCACACAGGGTGAAAAAAAAAATCTGTGTTTACAGGCAATAATTCCATATTCTCATGTTATTCAAAAGTCCTTTGAGGGTTGAAAGAAAGAAAAAATCAAACAGAACAACTGGACAGTGGCTTGTAACGCCAGAGTTTATTGAAGAAAAATGCTCTGCTGAACTAAAGTAAGTTAAACCGCAAACTGAGTGATACAGAATCAGTGTAATGTGACTAATGGATGACCACAGAAGTCTATTAGACTACTAACAGTCCAATGTTCAACGGAAAACCACACAGGAGCATCTGGTCTGCCTTAATCTCAACTCAAACTAAAAATGAACAGGCCCTCGAATGACTATGGGAGACCGGAGGCTATTGTAACACTTATTCAGCATATGCTTAGTAGAGATCACTTTCTGCCTGAGGAAAAGCATGATCATTTCACTGAGAAATAACCTTTTTTTTCTTCTGTTGTCTAAAATTATACCTTTGAATGAAAATGTAAACAAAAAAATTATTTATATTATTTGGAAATATTTGTTTCATTACCAAAAAAAGTGTAATAAATTTATTTTAATTGTTTTCATTTTAAATGATTTTAAAATGTATTTTAAATGTTTAATTATAATAATAATAATAATATATATATATATAATTTTCCACTTTAGACTTTTTTTTACCTGACAAATAAAAGAAAGTATCATCATACTGAAAACGATTCAGTAATAGTACTACATATTAAATCAATAATACCATTATTTTGATGTGTGCTGTTGTTGGAAATACAGTGGGTTAATACACTTTTTTTTTGTGATTATGATTGCCCCCAGTCACTGTAACAATCAAACCCATAACACCCTGACTACTTGTATTAAATTCAATGTAATTATACTAGTTACTGTTGGCATATATGTATGTTTCTTATATCAAATCATGGCATGTTAATTTGTAGCAGTCTGAGTTATATAGGCAAATTGCAATTACAATCGTCCCTGGTCTCCCATACGTCTTGCTGTTATAGCCAATTATAGCAATTTCATCCATGTAGCTACTTTGTTGAGTGACATCTGGAGTCTCTCAGTTAACACTCCATGACCTGAGGTGACTGACCACCTCTTTCTGAACTCAGCTTAAGAAAATCTTGGTTTATTCAGCTCTTCGATACAACTGGAAGCTCTTATTAGAGGTTCTAGTTTTCTTATTGTTAGATCATTCCCTTAGATAATTGAAAAGCCATTTGAAAATGGGTTAGAAAGATTGTTTTGGTCAGAAACATGTTCTACACAAGCTTGTAAATGCAAACGCTTCTAGCCAAGCTCCATTTCACACATTGTCATCTGCCAAAAACTCAAGTATGTGTTGAATTTTCAGCGTTCTCAGTTTTTCCATTTAGGTCAATTACTGTCATAGCGTAGCAACAGTTTGAAGAAAATATTGCTGAGCAAGTTAGCACACACTCCTCAATGACGTATAACTAGTCACCTCAATAATAACACACCCAGCATAATGTCGCCCCCTGGAGGTTTATTACAACAAACGCTTGCAATGCATTGCATACTTGCGAAGAATTTGTTTCTGCCACTGTATGGTAACTCCAACATGCTAACCAAGTGAGGGACGTTTGCTCCGTCCCCTTATGATTCTTCCCTCTTGAAGCTGAAGTGTGTAATTTTTCGGCTTTTTAGTGAAACACAGAGACAACCTGTATTCAGTAACAAGTGGTTGACTTAGCAGACACATGTAAACACTGTGGCTATTTCAAAGCATTGTTTGTTTAAACACTCTGACAAGCCAGCATAGCAACACTGACACAACCAATGGCGTAAGTTTGGGGCGTGGCTGTCTGTTTGCCTGACCAATGGCAGATAAAGGAAACCTTTTTGAAAACAGTCATATTTTTCACTAATGGCGAAGAAATTACACACTTCAGCTTTTAAACTTAAATCACACATACACACTCACAAGCAAACACACATACACGATCTAGTCGACACGTAGCCTTCAAAATACAAAGCTTGATGGTTTTCACTCTGCATTTCAGTACTGAATTCTGCAGAACTGAAAATCAGTCGTAAACTCCGGTGGTCCGCACATTACAGTATGCATTAGACACATACTGATTAGTTTGATTACATTTTGAAAAGAAACACAAGCTATATGTACATCTAAAGAAGCTTGATCTTTGGTACATGTGCACGCTGAAAAACCTTGCCCTGTGAACCTTCATTTCAGTTTAAATGAATGCTTTTTTTAATACTCAAGAGATCTTCCATATGACATGCTCATGTCTAGACAGATCTTTCGTTTTAATCAAATAATGACAGCATTTATGAGCACTCCCTGGCAACTAAATGAAAGTAACAGCGAGAGGCCTTTGAGCTCTGGTGAGCATTAATTTGTTTCTTTTCATTCTCTCGTTCTCACACTCTCTCCCATGTCAAAAAAAACAAAAACAAAAAAACCTTCTTTATTGCACATTCCTATTCATTCTTCACTCAGCATGGGAGAATCACCATTATCTACTCCTCAGAGAAGGCGTCCTGTAGCGTCAGAATAGAGCGAGGGCTGAATGAAACCAAAGCCACGTTTAACATCTCATGCGTGTTGCACTGGATTTCAATTTGCCATTGAGCAGAACGGGGACAACAAAACGTGTGCGGGCCTTTGATGCAGAACAAAGAAAAGATGGAAAAAAACAAATGGGATCCCATTTTCCAGGATACACTACACTCCACAATGGAAATGTCAGATACTTGTGTCCTCCAGCGATGTCGTGGGAATGTTTTTCACTTCTCTATATTCGAGAGAAACAGTTAGCGCGCAGCAGTATGCACAGTTTTCGGATGCACTGCTGCGTTAATGCCGGCAGAATGTGGATCACCGCCCAGGCACAGCCTCTTTTGAAATTACCCATCATGACTTGCTTTGCGAGCGGGGGCCGTTAGCGTCTAAAAGTGAGGGTGCTGGTGGAACGTTCTGTTGTTGGATAGTTTATGGAGCGTTCTGTGGTGGGGTAAGGGATGCTGGGCCCCTCCACGGGCGCTCTCTGGCTGGGTGGGGAGCAAGGTCCCGCGGTGCCCGTGTTGATGGTGGGCACTGCCGGAAGGGCCACTGTCTGGATGGTGCTCCTCTCGCGGGGGGGAAGCTCCTCCAGCCCCTCCAGGCTTTGCGGCGGACCCTCATAGCTCATGTTGAGCCGCAGGGGTTGATGGGCCTGGCAGTAGTCCACTATAGGCTGCTCGTACCTGTAGAAGGTCAGAGTGCTCATCTGGTGAGGGACCTGTGGGGGTAAAGTAGAGAGAGAAAGAATGAGCTGAAGATCCCTAATTGGAAGTCATTAACAACCATTAAATCGTCATTAAAAGGATAGTTCATTCAAAAATGAAATTTTTTTAATTATTCACTCAGCCTCATGTCAGTGTATGACTTTCGTTCTTCTGTAGGACACAAAAGGAGAAATTTTGAAGATTGTGCTGGTCGCTCTTTTCCATGCAATTACAATTAATGACATCTGAATTAATTATTAAAGAATTAATGCATTAAAGTTTAATTTAAATCAGATTCAAAAGAATTTGTTCACGAATTGGCGAACAACAGTGAATTTTCAGTGAATAATGACTTACATTTTGGTCTTTATCTCATCACACAAAGCTATTGTATGACTCTGTGTGAGTCATATGGACCCTTTTTTTATGCTTTTTTTTTAGCTTGACAGCCCATGTCCTCATTCTCAGAAGTTAGAAAGAGCTTTATTGCCAAGTATGTTTATACACACAAGGAATTTGTGTGTATATTTCTATTTCCTTTATGGAAAAAGCAATCAGGATATACATAAAAAGTTCACCTACAGTATTGTGTTCCAAAGATGAATAAAGTCATACAAGTTTGGACCAACATGTAGCTGACATTTTTCATTTTTGGGTGAACTATCCCTTTAATTAGAGTAATTAAACCACCCCCTCACCACAAGAGTCATTAAATAGTCATAAAATATCTCCGATAATGATTCTACCACCAAGAGACATGCACACACACAGAGTTCATTCCAACATCCCTCCTTCTCACATCGTTCTCAGCCCACTCGCGACTTCCTCTTTAAGCTCTGCTTCCATCTGCATTTAGAAGCTGCCTCGTGGCACCGCGTTTTCAAAGAGACACCACGCTGGTAGGGGTAATAGCTTTTTACACCGAGTGCAAACCCAGCATCTGTCTTGCTTCCCAGTGTGTGTGCCGTGCTCACTGGTGACTCACTCTGTGTATACACAAGAGGCAGAGCACACACACACACACACACACACACACACACACACACACACACACGATCCCCCGCACAGGCTGCTGCAGCTATTCCTATGATAAGTGACACTAGCAAATATGCCTTTCCTTTTCATGCCGTGACTCCGGGAGAGTCACTGTGGAGAAACATGCCACATGTGGCTTCCTCATATGTACTGCATAACTTTTTTTTTTCCATAAAACATTCAAAAATACTGATCATGTAAACATCATTACAACAAGATAAAAGTAATTTATTTTAAAAGTACTTTCTAAATTTACTTTATAGAACAAAGATGTTTTCAGAGAACAAATTATGAATTATTGTAAGTTATTTTTCTCATTTTAAACATAAGTCCAACAAAATTCAATACAGTTTATGCTTCTAAAATCTAAAATCTAAAAAAAGTGATTGAATCTTTCTTTTGAGCTTTTCAAAGAACCAATGGTAACACATTTTTTAACTTTAGTTAATGCATTACCTAACATAAAATATTAATGAACAATACATTTTTACAGCATTTAATAACTTTTGTTAATATTAGTTAAAAAAAAAATTAATGTTCATGTCAGTTCACAGTGCATTATCTCTGTTAACAGATACACATTTTGACATTAGAAATGTATGTAAATATAGTAAATGTTCAGATTACCTAACTAAAACCAATAAATGCTGTAGAAGTATTGTTCATTCTTAGTTCATGTTAATTAATGTAGTTAACTAATGTTAACAAATGAAACTTTTAATTTAAAGTGTTAGCAAACCAATGTATCCACTTCACAAACTGAACAATTGGTTAATGAATCAAACTGATTCGTTCGACAACATAATTTTGTTCTGTTCCTTACAAAAGTCATTTTTGGAGCTTGACAGCCTTGGCTACTATAAACTGGCTTCATATGGAAAATAATCTATTTAGTTCCAGAGAAGGAAGACTAAAGAAGGAAGAAGGACGGATTTAGATTTTTTAGTTCAATCAATAGTTCAATCAATCAATCAATCAATCAATCAATCAATCAATCAATCAATCAATCAATCAAACTTTATATAAAACACATTTAAAAAAAAAAAAAAAAAACTCTTCTATGAAAACGAGTCTTACTATTCAACACAATCTTACTTCAAGTAAATTTATCTTATTTCAACACTTTCACTCACACATTATTTACAAAAAAAAAAAAAGATTAAAAAGATATTTTCGCAGTGTTCTCATCCCTCACACCATCACACACACGAAAACACATAGACAAAACATGAGTCGCCACATTTTTCCACTGAACAACCAGAGTTCATTGCTTTTAAAGGAGCGAATTAGTGAACGCTTAGAGATAGTGAAGAGCAACCCGAGCGCGATTAGCGTCAGCGAGCACTAAGTGAACGTTAGTGACAAGAGAGCTCTGCCGGTGTGACAGACGAAGAGGTTTTACAAAGAGACTCCTGACAGGAAGCAAAATAAATAAACAACGTCAAATGCAGGGCCGACTCTCAAGCGATAATGAGATGCGTTGTGTCAGCGGTTCGGCTTTAAAGATCTTTGTATGCCACAATTAATCCACTTCCCCATATTCCCCTGAGCAGAGCGAAAGGCTTTTTGCATGGGCACCAGCAGAATGCACAGCTACTAAAAAAACTGCTTTACTTAGAGTGTCATGGGATTTGTTAAGAGGAAATTAATAGTCATATACTGTAGGGTCACTACAAGGGATGCCAAAAGTATTAAAGCCAATACTAAAATGTGAAAAGCGATTTTATACAATGACATGCCGGTTTGTGTTTGTGTTTATATGTATGTGAAAAGCAGTTGCTCATCGAGATACGGCAATGCAGTAAAGCATGCAAATAATAAAATCGGATATGTACAGTATATATATATATATATATATATATATATAAAGATCTGTGCTTTAGGTCTTAATGCAGTTTAATAGACCTGCTGCTGTCTGTTATGTTTTTTTTTTAATATTAATCAAACAACAATATTGACAAGAAAAAAGATAAAGTGCTTACTGATGTTGGCTGGATAACTGTAGTAGCTTAAATAAGTCTCTACAGTCAAATATGAACACAAAATCAGGCCTAAAGAAAACAAAATAATGAATTTACACATTTTAATTACAGGCTTGCTTTTCATTTAAATGCCAACAGCATCCTATATTCATGCATTGTATCTAATAATCATGCAGTGAAGACTGTGCCAATAATTTAAGTAGTTTATTTTTACATTTGATTACTTGAATACTTGAATCTGCTTTTACATAAAACTTTAAGCACTGTTGACTTCATTTGTTCTGTTGCTTATAATTGATTCTGTTGACTGGTTACTTAAATAATTACTTGGATTACGTGATGCAATGTTTATTTAATTGAGAAAAGCTGAAAACTGATAACAGTTTTGTTAATGAGGGAATGGTTTTGGTAATTGGTTATCGGCAGATGATGATAATCAAAAAATAGCAAATATACACTAATTAATTGTCTGATACAGTATATCAGTCCAGTTGGCAACATCAATCACAAAGAAACAGCAATTGTATAAAAACACAGGAAGAGGCTGTGATCTGAGCTATTAAGGGTTGGCAGAAGATCTTCTTGTATTTGATGAGTCATCGGCGTGTTTAGGACACAGGTGGGTCGAATCTACAGTCTATGAGGACCCTCATAAACATCAAAAGGTGCCAGGGTAAAAAGAGAGGAGCGCTTGCCAAAATCCAAACCATTGCCCCAGGTGGCTTGGAAAAATAGAAAATAAATGAGAAAGAGAGGGAATCATTGTTGTCAAAATGAAAGAACCTTCACAAATAACCTTTTTTTGTGTGTGTTCAATAGATGACAACAATGAAGAACATTTATATTAAAAAATAAAAAGTAAAAACAGTATTAATGTGAAATTTCATAACAATTTATATAAACTGGTTTCTTTTAAAAAATGTTATATATTCTTGTGTTGTAAAGCTGCATTTTTAGCATCATTACTCCAGTCTTTAATCTCACATGATCCTTCAGAAATCATTCTAATATACTGATTTGATTATCAAGAAACATTTCTTATTCAATGTTGAAAATAGTTATGCTGCTTAATATTTTTGTTGTAACGATACATTTTTTCAGGATTCTTTGATGAATAGAAAGAACAGCTATTAAAATATTTTATAAACAATGTAAACATCACAGTAACTCTGTTACTTTTGATTAATTTGATCCTTGCTGAAAAAAAAAAGGACCCAAAATTTTGGAACAGCAAAAGTTGTACATATATTAAAATGCCAACAAACCCCTGAATTTTAAAAGCATTTAAAGTAAAAAAAAAAAAAACCGTGATTTCCTATGACATTCCTCCTCCTTTAGGTGGTCTTAGTGGAGTGGTTAAAACATGTTTGGCTATTTTCTAAGCAAAGGTGTAGCAAGCTTTCCATTCTGATTACAAAGACAAACTATTTTGTTTATGTGGAATAGCATACACAAATGAATTAGGATTCATTAAGAAAGTAAATGGTCAATTTTGAGTTGCTGTTAACTGTAAGTATCTATTCTGATGAAGTGGCAAGGTCACATTGTGCTGAGTTATAGTGTGTGTCAGAAGTAAAGTGCGGTCAACTGAGAAGGCAAATATTTAGTCCAGGATGTTCATGCTACTGTGAACGCAGTGGACTATGCAAATGGACAGACATATAAATGATAAACAGGGTGAATCCCATATATTGAGGCAAACACAATGTTCTATGAGAGTCAAACCTTTCTAATGAGCACTCATTGATACTCCTTCACTCTCTCCTGCTCAAATGAGACACACACTTACTTCTCTCTCGTAGCTATTCCTTCCTTTGGCCACTCCCAACTGATCTTCAGTGAAGTTGCATTGATTAATTATAATATATTAACTACTAACTGTTTCAGTGAATTCTGAACAGCGTGGGGACATAAATCTAACCTTAATGTGTGTGTGTGTGTGTGTGTGTGTGTGTGTGTGAGAGAGAGAGATGTGAGAGAGAGAGAGAGAGAGAGAG